TGAGAAATTCAAATATTTAACTTAATCAGATAAGTCAAACTGCTTTTGAAAGTGGCTAAACCCAACACTGCCATATATGCAAGCTATGTGATTCTCATAGCCCCACATCCTACAAACAGTTGGTGTATTAAAGATTTAATGTTTACTAATGTGGCAGATGAGTAGTGATATTTTGAAATCATTTTAATTTTAATAAACCTGATAATTAATGAGGTATGATAACTTTTCTTGTGTTTACTGGCCATTAGAATTTCATCCCTTTGCTGGGCCTGTTCAGATCTTTTCTTATTTTTGTAATGAACTGTCTATTTTCATCTTACTGCTTTATGGAAATTTTAATATTTCATAGATAGTAGGTCCACTTTGTGGTTTATCTTTTCATTCCCTTTTTTGGCATCATTTATTAAATACTAGTTATTTGTTTAATGTATTCAAGTTTATCAATGTTTTCATTTATTTATTAAAATGACAAGATAATATTGTTCCTGTGAAATAGCTCAGTCAAAATAGGAATGTTAATATATTAAAAAGCAAAAAGGCAACAATAAATACACCGATTTAGCTTTTAAAAACATCATATGAAAGCACCATAATGAAGGATACATTTGTAAGAGAGAAAGCAAGACCAGAGAGAAAAGAAGAGAATCAGAGGCTGAAAAGAAAATAGAAATAATGCAGAGGAGTAGTCCAAGAGGGCAGGACAGTAATTGAGGTTGTGCAGTGTCTCAAAAGAGAGACGAGCATTGCAAGAATAAGGAATATTTTTAAGAGTATTAAAAGCTACTGAGATTTCAAAGACCATGGAATTTCAACTGCTTGTCCTTGTTTTTCCTTGTCTAATTCTTATGTTTTGGCAAGATGCTGCTTTCTAGTGTCAGGTGGCCAGTTCTTTCCTCTGACAGCCCCTTGGCTCCCTTTGCTTATCTGCTTTTCTCAGCAATACCACTTTGTTTTGAGAGCCCCAGCTACATTAGGGATCCAGTACTAGAATGGCTGTCACCTCTGTGCTGAAGGAAAATGAAAGAGAGTCAGACATGAGTGTGTTTAGTATACTTTCATGACACACTTCTTTCAGGTGGAGGATGATTTACTATCTGGTTTGCAACCAGGGTCCCTCACACAAGGACCTTATTTACACTGGAAGAGGACCTTACAGCTCTTGTATGACCCATGACAATTACTCTGGTGCTGAAAAACAAATGTTATGTATTCCGTAGGACACTGGGGAAAACCCGGGCTGGGACAGCCCATTGTTCTTCAGATGGAAGAATAATGTTCAGTACACTACTGCAGGAGGAAACAAGGCTTAAGTTTTGTTTTTTTTTTTTCTTTTTTTAGGTGGAGCCTTGCTCTGTCGCCTAGGCTGGAGTGCAGTGGTGTGATCTTGGCTCGCTGTAACCTCCGTGTCCTGGGTTCAAGTGATTCTCCTGCCTCAGCTACCTGAGGAGCTGTAGCTGGGACTACAGGTGCATGCCACCATGCCTGGCTATTTTTTTTTTTTAAGTAGGGTTTTATTGTGTTGGCCAGGATGGTCTTGATCTTCTGACCTTGTGATCTGCCTGCCTTGGCCTCCCAAAATGTTGGGATTACAGGCATGAACCACTGTGCTCTGATCAAAGATTTTTGCTTACATATTTTGGGCAAGGAGGGCATAATTAATCAAGAGGAACTTATGGGTCACATGAAGCAGAAGTGGAGGATCAGAGAGAGAGAGGCAGTGAATAGCCACCAGCAGTATATATAGGAATAGGATGTTGGTCACTTCAACTTTATGGGCAAATGTCTGAATGGTCCATTTAAAGAAAAAAGCTGGAAAACAGGGATCATAGTCTGCTGGGCAGGGGAGATGTTTCTCACTTCTTGTCTCTGACCACCAGCTTGAGCCATTCTGCTGTGGTATAGAACTGAAAGCTGTGTTAAGGGTGACTAAGCCTTGCTTCCAGTATGAGAAACTTAAACTTGTGTTCAAAATAGGTGTCAAGACTACATAAAATTATAAGAATTCACTAAACACCCATGTTGTAGTGAAAGTCTTAAAGCCTTGAAGTGAAGTGAGCCTGTCACTATTTACAGACGGGGACACTGGGTCACATACTACTTGAATTGTTCAAAAATTATCTATATATACAGACAACTGGGGATTAGGTATATTTTACTGATAGTTTTAATGTGTCATACCAGCCACTAATGTTCTTTTGCCAATTATAACCAAGACTCAGCTCCATCATTTATTCTCTGGAGAAATCCAAAGAAGAGTCAAAGACAAACAGCCCCAAGATTCCACTGAGAGATCCTTAAAGTGCCAATATGTTTTAGAGTGGAATAAAAATAGATTTTCAATTTTGACTTTACTGAATCTCTTGGTATCAGTTTCTTCTTTTGGGGAAAATACTGTCCTACCACCAAACCCTTTGATTTTGCAGATAGCTGAAACCTGATATAGACTTTACACTACCCAAAAATAATGCTGATAGAGAATAGATGAATAATAAACATCATGCATTACAATGAATTTTCTGCACTATTGTGGGATAGATGTCTTAGAAGACTAATGGTACACGATTTGTCTTCCACTATAACTTTGAATGATATGAAAATTTTAATGGGTTTTTCTTTCTTTCTATTGCTTTTTAAATAATATATGTATTTAAATAAATGGTTCATTAACCATTATATATTAAATAAATAGATCTATTTATTTAATAAATATTAATTCAATATAGCTATTCAATCTAAGAAAGGGTGAAAAGGTAACTATGTTCATAATAAAATGTTTTATAGGTAAGTTTTTTTTTCATTTGAAACTTAATGGAGTTAACTTCTGATGTTTTATTTTAAAATACTTTAAATGTTTTTTAAGTTATTAGCTAACAATACTATACTCTCTGTGTGAAAAATATGTGTTTATTATTGTACTAGGGAGCAACACAATTCTTTATGGCATTTTAGTTTTATCTTCCCTCTAATAGCAGGCTGTCAAGAACCTTTCTGAATAATTGCAGTTGTAAGTAATGGTACCTCCTACCACCTGTTAGTCTGCTGTTTCTCATATGCTGTTTATTCCAAAAACTCATAAGAAAGGCTTCTTTGGAACTTTATGATAAACAAGAATCTAGAAAGTTCAAAGACAGTTTGAATCTAATGGCTACAAATAAGAGCTAAGTATTTCAAGCTCTAATTTTGGACCAGTGTTTAAAAATGTATATGTCTCATGTTATTTTATTCCTTTCTTAATCCTATAAAATAGATACTATTATTTTATTACCCATTTTTTTTTTTTTTTGAGACGGAGTTTCGCTTGTTACCCAGGCTGGAGTGCAATGGCACGATCTTGGCTCACTGCAACCGCCGCCTCCTGGGTTCCGGCAATTCTCCTGCCTCAGCCTCCTGAGTAGCTGGGATTACAGGTGTGCGCCACCATGCCCAGCTAATTTTTTGTATTTTTTTTTTAGTAGAGACAGGGTTTCACCATGTTGACCAGCATGGTCTCGATCTCTAGACCTCGTGATCCACCTGCCTCAGCCTCCCGAAGTACTGGGATTGAGATAGCGTTTCACTCTTGTTGCCCAGGTTGGAGTGCAGTGGTGTAATCTCAGCTCACTGAAACCTCTGCCTTCCAGGCTCAAGCAATTCTTCTGTCTCAGCCTCTCAAGTAGCTGGAATTACAGGTGCCCATCACTATACCCAACTTTTTTTTTTTTTTTTTTAGTAGAGCTGGGGTTTCATATTATTACCCATATTTTACATATGAGTTGACTAAGGAGACTCAGATAAACAAAATTCTGTGTAGAATCTTTTAATCTGACTTCTCCCCTTGCAAAATTGATAGAGAAAGTATATAGGTAAATAAATTGGCAAGCAAACAAAAGCCTACAGAAAATATCTACTCTAAAACAAGATAACAAGAAATTCTCATGGACTCCAACATATGATGGTGGGAGGACAAACTGGATCTATGTGATACCAGTGACTGAGTATTAGAAAGCAGAGAAAAAGCAAGATAGAAAAAATTCAATTAGATCCACTACCAGAAAGTTATATTAGCAATCTAAGGACTTAAGTGGAAACTGGGAAGTGCTTTTGCAGGCTCCCATTCTCAGAAGAGTGGAAAAGACTGCAGGGAAATCTACTGATGTTGATCTCCAGCTTCAAAGATTTGCCCTATCGTGTAGAACTATTAAGATGCTCTATTACATTCCTAGAGTTGTCATAACAAATTACCATGATGTCTGGACCAAGTGAATCTTCCACACTAATCACTGGAGCTCCGTATACTTCAAAGCCTTGTACTAAAGAGAAACTAATATGTGGGGAATTCAAACTGAGTTTAATGATATAAATATATATTCAAAATAGGTAAATATAAGGTCTGTGACCTCTCATTTGGATTACCTTGGCCCTTGCAAACGTTACTGGTGGGCCGCATTCTGATATTTGGGAGGCGGCTGCTCTCTACATTTGAGACCTCTGGGCTACCACAGTGGTTTCAGGAAATTGCAGTGAAGCTGCTCCTCCAAACAATCATGGTATGTGGAACACAGGCTGCACTGATAATCCATTCTACTTAGCTGATCTGAGTTTGGAAACATGGACTGTCAATTTTCTTAACCTTAGTTTAAGTATAGGTTCTATTTTTGTTACTTTTTTTTCTCAAAAAGTAGAAAAGGAACTTGAATTTCATAGCTTATCTCTTCTCATATTTTTAAAAGGTTTTTAAAATGCAATTATATTGCCACAACGTAAAGAATTTTCTTGTTTAATTTCCCATCACATGCCATCATGTGGGCATCAAATCATGAGGAAAGAGTGATTACTGGGAATACCCTCTTTTTTTTCTGCACACATCCATGCACAGTGCCGGATTTTTGAATCTTCTCATGTATAATTTCTCACATTCATTTTGGAACCATTGTTGAGAAAGAACCTCTTTTAAAAAAATTCATTTTCCCAAAGAGAACTCATTTGGTTAATAAGGATAATGAAAGGATTCTAGTATGAGATTATTTTTAAAATATCATCATTTTAATTTAAAAAAATACATGACAGAAAGACATTTAAAAATCAGCAGGAAGTACCAGAGCTAGGAGCTTATGTTACTTAATTTTCAGTCTCTGAGTAAGACTCTCAAAATGTGTGATTCCAACACAGGATAGCTTTTCTCCCATACCCAGCTTCAAAGATTTGTCCTGGTATGCAGAACTCTTTTACTTCCTAAAGTTGTCATAATAAATTACCATAAACTTCATGGACTGAAACAACAAAAAATTATTCTCTAACAGTACTGGAAGCCGGAAGTCTGAAATCAATGCGTTGGCAGGGCTCTACTTCCTTCAAAGACTCCAGAGAAGTTTTCCCTGCTTCCTCTAGATTCTGGAGGCTTCAGTAATTTCTTGTCTTGTGGTGGAATAACCCAAATCCCTGCAAAAAGGCTCTTCTCACAGCATTTTCCTCTGTGCTGGTCTCCACACCTACTCTTCATCTTAAAAAGACATTTGCCATTGGATAGAGGACCAACTCTAGTCCAGGATAATCTCATCTTGAGAGCTTTGATTTAATTATTTCTTCAAAAACCTTTTTCTTAAATAAGTTCACATTCACATATTTCTGTTGAATTTACTTTTTTGGGTCCTATTCAATCTATAGAGACTGATCTATGGATGATAGGAAAGAGCTTTTCACATAGTACTTGAAAATCTATCAGTGAGAAATATTATACTGCTTCAATATCATAATTAAAGTACAAAAATTTACCAACCTATAATAGTTAATGAAAATAGACATTTATATCTTGAGTTGATTCCTAGTCGCAGCAAAAGTAAATACAGTTTTATTAGCATTAAACAGATTTCATTTTAGAGAAAATTGCTACTTCACTATTAAGCCTCTCAGAATTACGGATTATAAATAAAAATCAGGTTCATGTGCCAAGATATTAAAAAGATAATTTTGTGCCCTAGACATGAAACCAAACAGAAAATGTTAGAGATACTTTTACATAATAGTTTAATGCTTTCATACTGGGCTGTAGCTATGTTCCTCTTATCATTACTACAAAATGTTGTTACACGTTTCTCATTTAGTTTCAACCAGTTGTGTTCCTTGTGAGATCAGGGACCTGTGAATATAAAACACAGAGAAATTTAAAACAACGGAAATTTCTAATAATATAAAGTAAAAAACATTTGCTTCAATTTGAGGATTATATTTTGGTATTTCCCAAACAACAGTCAGTCACAAATTTAAGTAAAGAGTAATGGAAAGAAGAAAATCACTTCATGGGTTATTTTAAAGAGAGAATAGCATCTTTAGTTGAAGAGGAGACAGTGGGGAGTGGGGGAGACTGAGAGAAAGGAAGAAAAACAGGGAGTATAGAGGAATAAAGGAAGAGGGGGAGAAAGAAGATGGAGAGAGGAGAGAGAGCGAGAGAGCATGCACTACTTCTCTGGGTGTCTAGAAGGAAATGCTTGTGTTGTCTCTTGCCCAGGAAGAAGAATTGGCTAAAAACGAAGAGGGCAGCATGGACTAGAACACATTTGTGAGCCTAAATCAATAAGTCTGATTAAGCTCTTTTGTTTCTATTTCTTCACCAAATTAAAAAATCCGTGTAATCAAAATCGTATCCTACATTTTAGAAATTTTTGCATGTGAAATCCAGGAAATAATCTTTGGGAAAGAGAATATTAAAAACCTTAAGCTCTTTATTGGAGCTAGTTTAAAAAATATTTAATAATACGATTTATCAGAGACAGTGATGCTTACCAAACCCCCATCCTTTCCAATCTCTCAGCAATGAGAAGGGAACATATGTTATGTGTTTCTCTGGCCAATAAAATGTGAGCTAAAGCAGACAGTGTTACTTTCCACTGGAGGCAGATAAAAACCCCTCATGATTTTCCCATTCAGCTCTTACCCCTAAGAATGAGAGTGAAGGTCACATATTGTAATTGGAAACTGCCTGAAATGCTGAGCCATCACATTGAGTTCAGCACCCTGGAGAGCCTCACATCTACAGTATGCTTTAGAAGTGGGAAAGCTTAAAAACTATTTTTTAAGCCACTGAGATTTTAGGATGGAGTATTATCATAGTAATACCCATCCTAATTTGTGTAATATATCTAGATTGTTTGAGGTAAGCTGAGGTAATCCCTGAATAGATATGAAACAATATTAAATACTACAAAATGGGCAGAAGTTAAACTTGCTTTTAAAAAACTGCATTCTCTTTGATACTTTCTGATACTTTTGTTGCTGTTAAAAAGAAAGTATAAGTTTTTATTATTGGCTACATGAAAATATCATTATTTTTCACTCTATTAACAGAAAGATCTATGATTCTAAAGTTCTTTTAAACATTTCTTAGCTCCTATTAACTTAATACTTTTCACACAATTAAAGTTAGTTATATGAGAAAGACTGGAAAGCATTTATCTCTTCATACAGAATAATTTCTTTCAGATATTTGTAAATGATATATAGTAAATGCTATTTTCTTACATGTCTGAATTTTATACTTTTGTAAAAGCAAAATTCAAAGTCAAATGAATTATTTTTATTTTTTGAACAACTTTTTGCAAAATGGGATTGATTTGAAAAAATTACCAAAACTTTGCTGAGCAATATAAATCATCTCCATTTTTCCATTTTATATGCTTATATGAGGCCTATAACAATTTTCCTCAAGTCCTCTGGGCCACCTAAATGACTAAGCTGCTTCTTAATAAACTTGCATATCTGTATTAAAACATCACCTGTTAGGGATCTTGATGAAAGGGACTTGGGACCCAAACCTATTTACCTCTAAACCATGGTAATTACTGATATTTATTAAAAGAACTTGCCATTTCATGACGCTTTTTGAAATCAAATAACCTATGCATCAAGGCTATGATAACTACTTGCTGTACAGTTTCTTTTCATAGATATTGGTAACCTCCAATGCTTAGAGAAAGGTAGGTGGGATCTGTATTTCTTTCCTGTCAAGATTACTAACAGGTGATATGTTTCAATAAATACATATCTCTGAATAAATTCTCTTGAGCAAGAAAAGAAAAAAACAGCCTACTATATGAGGCAGGAATTTCCTTACTCCTATACACCAAAGTAACAATGTTAAAATAAATTATCATACAGACAATTTATCACCGCTTCAATTTACGTTATGTATTTTAAAGACTATCTCCAGCTGCTTCATGTGGTCATTTTGAATATGAATTGGTGGGGTCGGGATATGGAGACTCACTCTTTGCTTCCAGCATTCTTCTAGTACCCTCTAATGGTTTTTTCTACTGATGACATATTACAGGGACTAAAAAAATAGATGTGCACTATAATCCCAACATGTAATATATGTTGCAGAATTTTCTTTTTTGTGTATCATGAAACAGTAATCATTTTCTTGAGCCATTTAGACTAAGCCATGAATTGAACATGGGCATGAACAGTTAACTATATTTTTTGCATAATTCAGTGTGTTCATTTGTATAAATGAGTGTCATTCTAAAAAAGGTTTTATATATTTAAATGAAGAGTTAATGAAACAATTGGGAGACACAGGACTTCATTCCAATAAAAATATTAGTTCAGAAAAGTAATAGAAAAACACACTAGTAAATCTGTGATGTGTACTCTAATGGTCATTAAAAGGAATCCAGAAGCAAACTATATAAAGTTTAAAATCAACTAATTTTTGACAAGCATACCAAGAAGACAAAATGAGGAAATAATAGTTTCTTAAACAGATCGTGTTAAGAAAGCTAGATATCCATATGGAAACAAAGATATCCATACACATCTTACACCACACACAAATTCAACAAAAAATGGATTAAAAACCTAAATATAAAACCTAATACCATAAAAATCCCAGAAGAATATGTGGGAGAAGCTCATGGAAATTCTCCTTAGGAATGATTTTTTGAATATCACAACTAAATATTGGTAACAAAAGCAAAATAAACAATTGAGATTACATCAAAGTAAGGAGCTTCTGCACAGCAAAGGAAACAGTTAACAAAATTAAAAAGTGTATAAATTAGAAGAAAATATTTGTGAGCCATATATCTGATAAGGGGTTAATACCCAAGATATGTAAAAATCTCATACAGCTTAATAGCAATGAATAATAATAATATGATTAAAAATCGGCAAATGACATGAGTAGACATTTCTCAGATAAAACATAAAAATGGCCAATAGGTATATGAAAATGTGCCAATCACTAATCATCAGAAGAATTGGTATCAAAATCTCAGTAAATTATTGCACACCTGTTAGAATGGCTACCATGAAAAAGACAAGATATAATATGTGTTGCTGAAGCTATGGTGAGAAGAGAACCATTTTACACTGTTGGTGGGAATGTTTCTGAAGCCATTATATAAAACAGTAATGAGATTTCTCAACAAATTAAAAATAGAACTAACACATAACCCAGAAATCTTTCTTCTGAATATATACTCAAAAGAAATGAAATCAGGAACTCAGAGATATTTGCACTCCCCTGTTCATTGCAGAATTATTCACAGTAGCCAAGATACTGAAACAACTTAAGTTTCCATGGAAACATGAATGGATGATGAACACACACACACACACACACACACACACTGATTATTTAGCCTTACAAAAAGGATATCCTGCCTTTTTTGATAAAATATATAAACATGGAGAACATAATACTAAGTGAATCAAGCCAGACACAGAAAAAAAAATACTGCATGATCTCACTTATATACGTGGCATTCAAGAAAAAAAAAAAAAACTTGAATGCATAGGAAGAGAGAGAAGAGCAGTGATTACCAGAGGTGGAGAGTTGGAAGATGTAGGCTTCAAAGTTGCAATTATGTAAGATGAAGAAATCTAGAACTCTATTGTACAACATGAGGATTATAGTTAATAATATTGCATTGGATAATGGAAATTTTCTAAGAGAGTAGATTTTAGGTGCTCTTACCAAAAAAGTAACTATGTGAAGATGATAGATACATTATTATAGTAACCATTTCACTATGTATACCAAACATCATGCTGTACAGCTGGAAAATGCATAATAAAAGATAAGCTATGTTTTAGAAGGAGCCTGTTATTAATTATAGCTATAGATTGACCTCTTCTGCAGGAAAATTAAGGCAATATGTTACTAAATAAGTGACTAGCTTTCATTAAACTCCTGGGATGATAATTAGTAGGCAATGGTGGTATTGTGTTTTTCCTTATAAACAGGCAGCAGCACACTATTTATTTTAGTAGTCTAATGCTGCTTGTAAAAAGATGGTAAATAAGAATAAGAATTTACTCTGACTTTGTCTAAGTAATGCACCGGTTTGTTTTATTGTTTATTTTCTATTGTGGCATAGACTGCAGAAAGTTATTTTAAAGGCTAAGGAGAAAAAAATCATGCAGAATACTTTATGTAAGAATAACTTCTGGATGTACCTGGAGGATATTATGTTAAATGAAATAAGATAGACACAGAAAGACAAATATTGCAGAGTCTCACACATATGTGAAATCTATAAAAAGAAAAAAAGAAAGCTGATCTTGTAGAACAGAGTAGAACAATGAGTACCAGAGACTGAGGAGGAGGTAGGAGAGGGGAAGATAAGGAGAGGATGGTTAATGGGTACAAAGTTACAATTAGACAGTTTGAATAAGTTCTGGTGTTCTATTGTAGAATAAGGTGACTATGGTATTGCATATGATAAAATACCAAGAAGAGAGGCTTCTGAATGTTCTAACCACAAAGAAATGATAAATGTGTGAGCTGATAGGCTAACTACCCTGATTGATCATTATACAATTTATACATGTATCAAAATGTCAAATTATACCACATAAATATGTGCAATTGCAATGTGTTAATTTTTCAAATTAAGTTCTGGGGTACATGTGCAGGTTTGTTAAATAGGTATACATATGCAATGGTGGTTTGCTGTGCCAATCAACCCATCATCTACATTAGGTATTTCTCCTAATGCTATCCCTCCCCATGCCCCCAACCCCTTAAAAGGTCCTGGTGTGTGACGCTCCCCTCCCTGTGGCCATATGTTCTCCAGATTCAACTACCATTTATAAGCCAGAATATGTGGTATTCAGTTTTGTTTTACTGTGTTAGTT